CCGTTATCACCAGTCCCCATAAAATGGAGCCTCAATAAGTGCCGCATCAGGCATTTTACTATTGCAAAAATGACCATATGATCTACAAGGAGAAGTTAAGTTTTTAAAGATGGGTTTAAAATATTTCGTTAAAAAGTTACATTAAGAATTCTAAAAAAAGAGCATTTAAGCATTTAATTCTGTCTAAACGATTCCATTTGAATTATTTCCATTACTATAAACATAATGCAGCTTTTGTACATGTATACAGTACAGGCAACGCGGATCCCATATTAGACCGCGTCCCCTCCGCGGTGTATTAATCCTTTCCGTATTACACCGTTGCGGGTTTTGATCGCGGTGCTACCTGAGACCGTGCTTACACCGCGGCGGGGCCAGCTACCGTTATTCTTCAGCTAAGATGTTCTTACCTGTAAAGTATTGTCGATTTTTAATCGTGTCGAAATGGGGGAGGGGATTACGAGCACATTGATATTATAGATTTATACCATTACATGGATTCTTTAAAAATTCATTTTTTAAGTTTTATCAAATTGTTTAATAAAAAACATTTTTTTTGTACCAATAGTCACTCAAAATTAATTAATTCTCAAACACGTCTGTTAACAGTAATACATGTACAGTATAGGATGAAATAAAGTCGAATAATTTATCGAATATATTAACTTAAAGTTTATTTTCAAAATCAATAATGCCACCCCAAATGATCTTCAAATTGCTAAAAAGGTATAATTAAAATTTAAAGAATGCCATGATATCGCTTCCCTTTACATGCACTGTAATCCGGTGTTCACAATTAGCCCGTGCAGTTGCAGTTACATATATGTAGCTACGTGTTTATTTATCTGTGAGATTATATCAGTCATTTGGTTTCATTTAGAAAACTACCGTTACTTCTGTATACATATCTGTTATAAATAATAGCATTAAAAACGATGATAGATAGTGATACATAATTACAATTAAATTTTAACAAAACACGCGTAAGTGTAGGAATACCGTTGTTCCATTATTATGCGCAACACTGTAAGACTATGAACTAAATATCGACGATTTTTATTTGTTTTTTTTGGGGGGGGGGGGGGATTGTTAATAAAATATTCACAGGTCATTCTATTCAGAATATCAATAAAATCATAGCTAGTATTTGAATGTATTTCTATTTTCTGCTCTTTTCGAAAAATACTAAAATCATGTCAATGAACACAAACAAATTTCAGATTTCTCCGGTTCAAATGAAACACAAACAAAAATATGGGCCCTTAAAATACTTGAACACACAACACAGAAATTAACTTATTTTAATCAGCAAGTTGCCAAGCTTCAAGTTCTCAGATGTCTGTGTTACCGTTCGGTTTTCCTCAGGTAAGTTTGGTGTGGAGTGGAGCTTACTCAAAGCGGATGAGAAGCCCCGAGGGAACGACGCTGTCTAGTGTACATACTACCTATATACACAGGATGTTACCTGAGTGTATTACCTGTATGCGTTTTCCTACTACATTGTAAAACGAAGCCGTTTTTTTTTTTTCATGTGTAGCTCATGGATTGAAATGCATGAAATAAAGAATTCAATGTTTTTGTTGCAGACAGAATCCTTTTTAAATTTTTTGTTTCAATTAAATATTTTCAATAATTCGACAATTTTAATATACTGTGTTTTTCTTAATCAAATTTTATAACAAAAATACTTTTCTTTTTTACCACCAAAATCTGTCGTTGTAATCTGGCGACAAAAAGGGAAGTAATTCAAATTACATGTCATGTACATATGCTAAACGAAAGACGAAAGTGGATCATAAACAAGTCTCTCGGTAAATACCAATAAAACTTAGACAAAATCCACAAATGGTCAATAAACAAACTGATAAATCAGCGGTAGTTTTATTCGCTAGACTTAAGAAATTGATATACTGATCAAAAAGGAGGAAAAACGATCATGCACGTGCCTTAATATTGTGATATTTTTCTTCTCTCTTTCTCTCTCTCCTTCTATCTACTAACTGGTATTATTATTCTTTTATTGCTTAATACATACGTAGAGATATAAACAGACACGAAATAACATAGCAATGGGTCATTATTTGATTTAATTAATATCAAATACTTCATTAATTTGTTTTAAAAGTTTGTTGTTTTTTTTACTTTTATTCTTTTAAGACACTACGTTTAAAAAAAGCAACAATAATTTGACACAAATTCCAAGGCTAATATCGCATCTGAAAATGATATCGATGAAATAATAATGAAACAATGAATCAAATGTGTTGTTGAATGGCTAGACAACGATGTGCACATCCAGCGAGCGTTACCCAAGGTATACTCTAAGACAGGTGTGAAACCCCCAGGGCATGTCGTTTCCTGCTCAGGCACTGCTAATCCCTATACACAGGAAATGATCGCGGCTAATACTTAATACACAAAGTAACAGAATTTGTCAAAGAAAACAAAAATATATGAATTTTTGCATTGAATATTTATTAATATAAACTATAATTTCGTCTGTGAAGTTTATCATTACACCTGCACATCCTATCTTATCTATTGAACACGAAAATGGAGAATATTAAAATTAGAAAGAAAGACATTGTTTTAAAAAGTAATACATGTTAATATGAAAGTGAAAAACGATATTTTTTCTTGATCTCTTGTATAAAGTTCACGTGCTCAAAGTTAACTCTCGCCATCGAATGCTTTTCGGTCATTTGACAATTTGAGAAAAATGCCTGCACATTTAGATAAAAGAGGGAAATAAATTAAAGAAAAGTTTTCTTAATTTGGGAACAGAACATAAACGATGAGAAATAAAGAGGAAAAGAATTTTTTTCTTGATATCTTGGATAAAGAAAAATTTAAGTTCACGTGCCCACTACATGTAACTGCAAATGCTCGTCATCGGATGTTTTCCGGTAATTTGACACTTTAAGAAAAAGCATGTACATTTCATATACAATAAATCGAAATTAATTAATAAACAATATGAAGATGTACATTTTTTAAAAGATGTTCATCTTCTTTTTTTCAAATGAATGCTAAAAATCGTTTATCGAAACTTAAACACTCTGAGTTCAACATTTATTACAGTTTGTATATAATATGAAGATTAAAAAAAAAAAAAAACTAATTAAAATTTCTAGTATTTAATTTTGTTTCTTGATAGATTCTTAATAACACAAAATAATTAACCATTGCAAAGAGTAACAATTTAATAAAATTTTCTATTCAATTTCAAATATTGATATGTAATTATAGAAACAAAAATAAACTTATTTTTTCTCAGTTTAAATTCTATTCATAGCAAAATTAATTAATAAACACACGATTTTTTGTTTTTGATTTTTTTTTTTTTTTTGTTAGAGGGAAAATTCGCAAATTACAATTCGGGGAGATAACTCCTGTTTGTTTACGATACTAATTGTCAGTAATTGATCGATGATTTACCGCGGCGGGGACAGGTAGGTGATGAAATTCCCGTGGAGGGGACGCGGTTTACCTGTCTACCTGGCCAAATACCGCGTTGTGATTATACCGCGGCGGGGACGCGGGAAATACGGGATCCGCGTTGCCTGTACTGTAGATGCATGGTGCAGTCTTTATATAGAAAAAGGTCAATATCAATTGGCTTTTTATATAAGGTTCACTACTCTTTACAAAAGCAATAAGCAGTAAATCTGGAGAGCAAAACAATGTTTCAATCACACAGTTCAAATTTAAGTTCCGGAGATGCCTGAATGGAATTAAATATTTGATTTTTTTTAACTTAGAGACCTTCAAATCAAATCCTGTTCATGTGATTCCATAAATTCTGTACTCTTTATTTCAAAATGATAAATTTCTAGAAATTTTCTAGATATTTAATCAAAATATATTCTGTGATGATGCAATTGTAACAACTCTGATATAAATTGTACATGTACTTGTCTGACAAGCTTTCTTGCAGAATTCTTTAGAAAAGGCTGTTTTGACTTATTTTGTATACAAACTGTGTTCCATATATTTTTTGTTTATTTAAAAACTAGGGGAGTATAAATGTCCATCAGGTGTTTAGAAATAAAATGAAAGTAAACACATTCACATTTAGGAATTTCACATGCATGTATATAATGTGAATACAAACAGCGTTCCATACTTTTTTGTTTATATGAATGGTAAAATTTGCAACCATTATATATGTGTGGATGATATTTGGAAATCAAAACTTCACTTCTTTGAAAATCAAATTATTTAATTTTTTTGATTTAGTTTTGATTGCATAACAAACTACAGGTTGAAACAACAACTTTTAATGCTAATTGGCTATTGTTTACAGGCTGTCTGTCATAGAAATCTCATATAGAAAAAAGTATGGTGTGCAAATGGGTAATTCTAAATTCATATTGATCCCTAATTTTAATCTTTCGATTTCCCAACTTTCCCCTGAGTGAATTTTTCTAAACTTTTTATATGTGAGTTACTAATAGCTTATCTACAAATCTGCATTAAAATATATACTGTTGCAATTAGTTCTCATTTTTCAGTAGAATGACTAGACTATTTGTTTATTTGGGGTTATCATCATTACAGATACTATGCATTTTTTTTTTTTGAGTTAGAAACCCAAGTGCATGTACACTGTATATGCTTTCTTTATATCACAGAGTATCCTTTTTAATAAAACCTATGGCCTATTCTTAAGATGTCCGGTTTAGAATTATCAATATAATAGTCAGATTCAGCAGTATCATGATAAAGTTTTACATGCTTATGACTGATCAACTGACCTACAAATTCCATGTGAAGCCACTATCGATGTATTCGACATTATTTCCTTCATGAATGTGTTCTGATACTATTTATTTACTTAACCAATATACATGTAATGATCGATGCACATAGTTTTGTAAATATTCAAATTAATTAAGTCATTTTTCATGATGACACCCTTGAGATAACTTTAAGCTTGACCTCAAATATTTCAAAACAGACCTTTTGTAAAACCAGTATTTTATTCAGTGTTTGTTTACCCTGGAGTTGGGATGACCAGGCCTCTGTCCTTCATCATCTCTATCAGACTGGTGTAAGATTTTCTGGACGGCTCCAGGGCGCTCTCTGGAACCTCGGTCTCCAAGATCAGATCCACAGGGGCAGACATTTTTATTTTCTCACCCTGATGAAAAAATTGTAAAGTGAAAGAAAATTCAAGAAGTCTCTCCCATTTTCTATAATTATCCACTGCCTCATTAAATAAAATAAATTTTCTCTTCTTTATTACAAAAAGTTCGACCCCTTATCTTCCACCTGAAGATTTTATAACTGTTCAGATTTTATGTACAAAACTAATCTTTATTTCTGGAAGTCCAATTCACAAGGTTGTCAGCCCCTTACCTTTTTCTTGATGTAGAGTTTCTTGCCCTGGGTTTCCTCTAACATAAACTCACAAGCAGTTCTGGACCAGGTGCTTTGGTCCCCAGCTGGAACAACCTCCGCCAGGTGACAAAGGAAGGAGAATGCTGCATCCTGGGAAAAATCCTTCCTCAAACTCCGTAACTCGGAGGTCTGAATGGTCTCCGTAAACCCAAAATCCACCAGAAATACCTTGAAAAATAAGTTACGATACGTTTTAAAAACTATGATTTTTCATTTTATTTTATTTCATTTTTAGGTCAAGTAAGAAATTTTATTGAGCTTTAATCAATTAAATGTGATCTATGTCAAAATCTAGTTTAATCTACAACATGTTCAAAGAGGAGAACCACTCTCCAATCCTACCTTCTCTCCCAAAAAAATCAAATGAATGAATGCTTTTTATCTGTACCCCTGTACTGCTCTTACTAATGTAAGTAAAGTTGAACCTCAAATTTCCAATTTAAAAAATAAAAATTGAAATCAGGTAACAAAGAATTAAAAAAAAAAAGAATCTTTCTTTTTCTCTCAAGGACTTGAGAACGTTTCCTCTTCATTAATCATTAAGTTTTATTCTTTCGAAGAATCCTCAGTTATCCAAACTCCACACAAACATAAATTATTTCTTTTTTATGTTAAAGAGCTGTTTGTTTAATTAATGATAAAATTATTAATTAATAATTACCTATAAATACTTCTTAAACCATTCAATTAAAATTCATAGTGTGCATTTTTGCATAGACACAACCTTGCATATACACTTTTGTACAACCCTTTACAATACAATGATGTTATACCACTACACTACATGCATATCAACTTTTGGACAGAGCTGTAGGTTTGTTTACATCACATGCAGCATTGAATTTCCCACAGACAAGAAACATGGCAGCAGTAATGGAGAGCAATATTGGAGGGAAATGTAAGAAGCACACAGAGGCAATCCAGGGCTTGTGTGACACTTGTGATGAGGTGGTGTGTGTCAAGTGTATGATGGGACACCACAATGGACACACGTTTACAGACCTCGAGGCCAAGGTAGAGGAGAAGAGGGGCTCCCTGCAGGGGCACATGTTGGAGATGAAGAAGAGGATCCCCGTGTTACAACAGAGGGTGGCTGAACTCTCCATACAGGATGACAAAAACCAGAGAGATACCGAGGCCGTCATAGCCAGCATCACTCAAAAAGGTACCATTACATCCATTGTGATTTTTTCAGTATCATTTTTTTTCGTTGGCTGATTTGACTTCATGGATATATTTAGAATAGATGTGTAGGAGTGCCTAGCAGTGGGCCACATTTGTATTTCGTAAACATGGAAGAGGAGGGGGAAATTATATGAATCATGCATTCAATTTTGTTATCAATATTTAACTCAGCTTAAGTGCACAAAGCAAACGTGTTTAATTTTTGGCATTTTTTTCAGGAGAGGAGGCATAAATCTTTTACAAGACGAATATATTTTAGATCCAAATAATGTTTTAAAATTTCAGAAACACTCTACTCTTCTATTAAAATGCATTAAGACTTAAAATATCTCAATTTTATAAAGCATGCCTGAATAAACTGTTTAAATTAAAGTAGCAAAACATTTTTGTAATTAAGATAACTGAATAGGAAAAATTTGTATACCAAAAATAAAATCTCTTCATTTTGCAGGTGAAAGCATCCGTAGCAAACTAGACAACATAATATCCAGCCTCATAGCTAATGCAGAAAATCAACGAAAAGACACAGCCCGACAACTCAGTGGTACACAAGAAGTCACAGAAGATCTCGTAGCAAAGGGGAACTCATTTCTTGAAAGCGTTGAGGACAGGCTCAAGCACAGCTCTCACTTTGAGATCATTCAGTTAGAAAAAGAATGCGCCAAGCTTTTAATGAAGATGTCCGAGGATCATCTGATTTTTCATGTGGCTACTCCGCGTTTCGTTGGCGGGGAGGAGAGTGTTGAGAAATTGCAGTCAATGGTGGGGGACTTTTATTCGGACCTGGCGTCTTCACTAAAACTCATGAGCTACGTCAGGATTGACTCCACCCTGACACCTTGTGAATCTGACATTTTCATCTCCAAAATCTGCCAAGTCAGCAACACAGAGGCTTGGGTTAAAGGTTTTAGAGAGGATGAACTTAAAATGTACAACAAGCAAGGGAAACTGCTCAAGACAATGCCCTTGAAACCGACATGCCATGATTTTGCCACAACCAAAAGTGGCATGTTAATGACAGTTGACCCCAAAATGCGCTGTGTTCAAAACTTTAACTCGGAGGGTGAATCTACAACACTGATAGACTTTCCTGAGGGTTTGTTGCCCATCAGTATATATGTGAACAGAACAAGTGGTAACTTTCTTGTTGGATTAGTAGACAGTTTGAAATACTCTACGACCACAGCTCAAAACACGCGACTCCTGAAAAGATTCTCCTTCGATGGCCAGGAACTACAGACAATTCAGTACCAGACCAAGAAGTCTTTCTTTGGTCGGCAGACGTCGTCCAACATTTTCAGCTACCCCTATCGCATTGCTGAAAATGAACAGACAGGGGACATTGCAGTCATTAACTGGACGGGGGATTTCACTGGAGAGCTTGTAGTCCTCAGCAAGGATGGAGAGGTGATCTTCAGGCATTCACAGACGGAAGATGAGGACACATTTAGTCCCTGGGATGTGGCCTTTGATGTCCTAGGGAACATCGTCGTAAGCGACAGATACAGCAGGAACATTCAAATGTTTAAGATATCGGGAAAGGCCAAATGCATCCTTCACAAGTGTAGCTATACACCCCATGCTATTGAAGCCTTCCCTGATGGCAAGCTGTGGATTGGACATTCCAATGGGAAAATCAGCATTATCCAGTATATGGAATAACTAATTCAGCTTTATCCAGTATTATGCAGTATAATAGGGTATAGCTAAATCAGCAACATCAAGTCTTATGCAGTATATGGAATAGCAAATTCAGTATTATTCAGTTCATGGAATGGCAAAATAAGGATTATCCATTGAACATGGGATGTCAAGACCATGCACATTGTTGCTAGGGATTTTAAAGATTCTGGTTGTGAAGGGTATTAGGAATTTTGATTATTTTCCACTCTGTCTGTCTGCAGGAAGCGAGGCAGAGGTACAATATGGAAACTTTTTGTGAAGATTTAATACTGTTTAGTTTTTGTTAAACCAAGGCTATAATATTATAATGTGTATGGATTTGTCTGTTATTTCTTGATGTTAAAGATAAGTTTTTTTTTCTGATAATTTGATCTGAACATGCTGAAACAAGGTGTTACAAAGAGTTGGGAACTCTGATTAAATACAATAAAAAAAAATAATTGGCTTCCTCTTTTTCTTACTTGAATATTCTTTTTTGGGTTTAAAAAAAATGGTACATCCAATTTTTGGACAGAATTTAAGATTTTCTAAGTAGATAAACTTTGCATATATACAATTGCCAAGATTAAAGCTAATAGTGACAATAATTAACCTGTTTATATATAACATATGGCAAGGAGAAACCAGAGTTTGGTACTCCTATCCTCTTCCTTAACATAAAGAGATCTGATTTTGGGGGTTTGCATCCATTTCTTCATTTATGAGAGGTTTTATACAACCAATGTTTGTAATTTCATCTTAATAGTAATAACTCACCCTCTCAAGATTAATGTTGATCCATTACATACTAGTACTGTTAATCACTTTTTATTAGCAACAAGACTTAATTTTCACTTGATTACTCAAGACAGTGTACTCACAAAATATCATTATTGCTTACATGTATATAAGAATTCAAAATGATTATAAAGAGCTGTAACCACAATTTGAGAAAATTTGACTTGCTTATAAAGAGTAAATTTTTATCTCTAGGAAATAAGGTGTCACAAAAATTGAGTGATTTACAGCTTTAAACATTACTTGACCTTTTTAACACAAATACTGGTTGCCAATTAAAAACAGGCTTTATACCAATGAATCAGTCAAGTGTTTTATACTACACAATGTATCCTCCACCCCCTCTTAACTCTTTTCCCCTTAGACCTTCCCTCCTTTATCCCTTAATGATGACTTTTGACGCCTAGCCCCAAACTTTTAATGACGACTTTTGACGCACGTGTATTTCATTGTTGATTTGACTTGAAATTACCGCTTGTTTACAAATTATCAGAGCACAGGTGGCCACCTGCAGGTTAACAATAGATGATTGCATCATACTACAGTTAGAAATCACGTGATTTACCTGTGTAAACAAACAATAGAATCTTGGAAAGTCCCACCAAAATTCAAAATGGCGGACTGTTACATACGATGTTTTTTGAGCATATAACTCAGTAAATAAGCAATATTTTCTCATCCAGTAAAGTATTACATAAAATTCAAGCTATAAACTACCTATCTCTTGAAAAGTTTGAAAATTATAATGATCTATATGTGTAATATACTCCAACATAAGATACGAAAATTTTGTGAAGTTCGGGACCGTGCAGTGCTGATTTCGTTACCTGTTTCTCGCAAATTCAGAAGATACCTTCCATTTTACACATATTTATCAATGTTTAGGTGAAGAAAATAATTACTTTAATAGAATTGGATCATTAAAGTATCCAAAAATGTTCAGAAATCAAGTTTTAGGACGCAAGTCTGAAAATTTGTCGGCGAGATTGACATTGAAGAAGCACTACAACTTACTGATTTCTGAGGAATTAAACTTATAAAATTGATAATAAATAATAATTTAACCATCAATTATATCATCAGACATATTCTTTATTATTTATAGAGACAATTTTGGCTTATTAAAGCCGTTTTACATGTTGAAAATATTTATTTTTCTATTTTCACCTGCTTTCACCTGAATTATTTTTTAACAGAAAATTCCGATCGAAATTTTGTAAACAGATTTGAAAAATTTAATTTATTACGAATCCAATGATATATAATACATAGTATAAATGAAATATTTTGACCCTTATTAGTTCAGATTTAAACTGTACTATAATTCATCTAATACGCTCTAAGGGGCAGCCAGGCAAACACTCTAAGGATATGGCCAGTGCTTCAAATCGTGGCATTAAGGGGTAAAGAGTTAACATTTTTGTTCATGACTTGTTCTATCCTGGCCTGGTACTCACCTACACGACGTTCTTGTTCATGACTTGTTCTATCCTGGCCTGGTACTCACCTCCACAACGTTCTTGTTCAGGACTTGTTCTATCCTGGCCTGGTACTCACCTCCATGATGTTCTTGTTCATGACTTGTTCTATCCTGGCCTGGTACTCACCTCCATGACGTTCTTGTTCATGACTTGTTCTATCCTGGCCCGGTACCACTTCCCGTCCTCTGGTCTCCGCACAGCACAGAACGTCCCCTCGTCCCAGTTAATCCACTGTGGCTCTGAGTCCCGATATTCCTCCTCCATATTGTCCATTATCCTAATACAAAAAATTTTCAGAGTCAAGAACATACTGCATGAAATGACAACTCTTATTAAACTGCCAAACACTGGCCAGGCAGTGGAGAAGGTAAGCTGTAAGGATTCAACAGATTAAGAAGGCACTCATAACCAGTTGTTCATAACTTGCAAAATGTTTATTTAATCTTTTTTTGAAATGCAGTTACATTGTAAAATCGGCCTGTGTGTATAAAACTAACAAATTCTTCTCTACAACAGGTTAATCATTGTCAAAATTTCTAAAATAATTTCAATGAACCAGTCCCCTCACCTATCTAAGCTGCTGTCCACCACGTAAGCATAGAAGCAAGATGGATCTGTAAACTGGCCGATTTTAACTTCAACGTCTAGATCTTCGTCACTGCCCTTCTGAACTTTTGCTGGAACAGAATGCTCATTATAGAAAATATTTGTATTTTGATTGTACATTGGTGGTGTCCTTAGTTGGCAAGATTCATAGCTCAATTACACCCCTCTTGACTAAAACAGAGAATGAAAAATCTTAATTCATTAAAAAGTCTACTTTTCACAGTTCTATTTCCGAAAATCCCATAAGGGTTTCACTCACTCAGCTATTGCTAACTTTATTTACAAGTAAATTCTTAACTTATTCCTTGTATGTACAGAACTACATGTATAAAGAAGTTCCCTACATTTCTTTTTGTGGCTGGAGGTCTGTCTTGATTTTTTCCTAGCTCCTGTGGATGAGTCAGAGACATTTCCTTCCGGTGCTGGGGAACACAGTTTCCTTGGAGATGCCCCCGGAGTGAAGGACAGGGCAGACGAGGGTAGGGATTCTGTTGACACAGAGGTGCTCTCTCTTCCCAACGCCATTGATGAACTCTATCAAATTCAAAATCTAGCTATAAATAACCTCACTCAAAATAAACAGAACTACACAAATATATCAGACTCTGTTGGTATCCAAAGTACACAATCATGCTAAAAGGTCCTCAATGCTTTTTAAGGCATTTAAATAAAATAAAAAATATTCAGTCTTCATTACTTTCCACAGAAATTCTTTACTTCTGTATGAACAATGCTGTAACACAATGAACCATTCCATTACTTTACTACCACAATAAGGTACGAAAAGCACATACTTACCACAAAATACCTTTAAAACTCCAAATTGTTCGCATATATCATTGAATATAAATTAAAAAGATTTATTTAACGTGATAAATTAAACAATCATCACTAATTGTGGGCACATCGGGTCTTTGAACACTCACCCTGGTGGAGCAGTCTGTCAAGCTTTCTTGTGACCCAGAAGCCAACAACTGATCCTCAGGGATTGGCAATGACCTTGAAATGACAGATGTAATCAACTGTAATCATTAAACACAAACTTTTAAGTCAATTCTACTGTAAAACTGGGTTAAAACTTGATTATTAGAAAGAACTTTCTACAAATTCCTTAGAAGACTTTACATCAAGTTCCTTGTACCTTTATCATCTCAATTATAAGGAAGGAAAATTAAGAGTCTTGCTGACTTTCTTACAATCAAGTTTTACTGAAATATTTTAACAGTCAGTCCGCAAGGAAACCATGCAAAACTGTACAAATCGAAGGTTGTCATATCTTTATGAAATTTGGTGGGTAGTTAGACTTCATAATATTTTATTCAAAAAAGCCCCCCAAAAATTCCCATCATTCAACATGGCAGCTGTACCCATATCAAAAAATAATACAGAAAAGTATATTTTTAATATACTTTTAATACATTCATTTTTGTACTTTCTTAAAATAATACAGAAAAAATATATTATTTTCCTATCACAAAAAATTCAGTATATCATTTTTGTATTAAAATTTGACTTTGATTTTGTACAGTGTATTATTTTTGTATTTTTTGGACTTAGATTATTTTCAGTGTATTATTTTTGTATTTTTTCAGGACTTAATTTTTTCCAGATGTATTTTTTCTGTATCAAATTTGAACTTAGTAATTTTACAGAAAAGTCTATACAGTTAGACTGTATCATTTCTGTATTAAATTTGGACTTCATAATTTTACAGACAGTTTGTCTGTATTATTTTTATATCAAATTTAGACTTAGTAATTTTACAGAGTTTGTCTGTATTATTTTTATATTAAATTTGGACTTGGTAATTTTTACAAAAAGACGGTCAGTATTTTTTGTCTCAAATTTGATTTTAGCACATTTACAGAAAATTCCATATATTTGGTCTCTATTTCTTTTTGTTGTTGGGGGGGGGGGGGGGGGGGAGGGGGGTTAAATTTAGACATATTTTTTCTATTTACATTTGTCTTTATGAACTTTATAAATTTTAGAGAAATTCCTTGCAAAATGTCTGCTGCTTTTTTTATAAGTTTATAGCATACCCGGTACTTAGAAAATTTATATTATATATTTTTTTTTTCAGGAATCTTGGTATACGATTATCTAGAACTTAAATAATTAATTGGTACTAAAATTTATGTTAATCTCAATCAGTGGTAATCCAGAGAAATATTTCCATCTTGGGCATGAAGCTTTTACAGCGGGTTTACATTAACTTTTCAGTGGGTTTACATCTTTCACGTGTTTAGATCTATCACACAACAGGTGGTCTTGCAGGCTAACAAATGATTGCATCATACTACAATTCAGAAATTACGTGATTTACCTGTGCACATGGAAAGTCCCAACTAGCTATTACCATGCATACGATGTTTTCTTCAGATTTTAGTATATGTGCACATTTTCACTAAGAGAAGGAATCATATTCAAATTATAAAAAGTAATTTGTTTTTATTCAGATAAAATATCACTTTTACTTCAACTCTGTGTTTAATTCTACTCTCATTTTAAAAAAAAACGATCCTGATTTTAATTAGTTAATAATTTACAAGTTAATTATGTTTGATCTTGGGCAAATTCTTGTATAATCAATGCAATCAAATGACAGTTTCTCAAGTTAAATCTTCTACCCTTACAGCCTGAGGCATGTTAATTAGCCAGGTGGCTGTGTGCTTCGTTCAAGCGTGAAGTGATTTCCTGTCGTGAATTCACACTTGGTTGCGTTATGTAAACAAGAGATTATCAGTATGCACTGAATAAACAGAACAGCTAAGGAATATTGCCTTCACTGGGAATATTTATTAATTTTTTGATAGGAAAAAAGAACATGGCGCCGAGAAAAGGGGGCATGGCTCTATACCTTGTTATTTTGCTTTAGATTTAACACTAAATTGATCCTTCTTCTAAAACTTTATGGTCTACTTTACAGGTCAATTTGTATAATTAAAAAAACAAAAACAAAACAATATGGCTGACCAGAAATCTTTCTCATCTGTAATCGGAAAATTTCTTAAAAACAAAAATAACGATTATAAGAAATGATTCCTAATAATTATTCTAGTAATGATCAAGGGTTTATTAAATTGATTCCATTTACTTATTAGACTTCGTACTTGACTGTTAAAAATATTTTATTTTTAAAAATCGTCAATCTTCGTAAATAAGGAGCTATTTGATTGGTCAGATTTTAAAATTTTTCTTTGCTTTTCTCTGATTGGTTAACGGTAATTTACCCACGCCATTTTGAAAAATAGATCGACGAACCGAATTGAGAGAGTTGGTGATGTTTAATAAGATTTAGCTAATATTCGCCGATGAAATTGGTAGAAAATAGATGTTTAGCTACAGCATGTTAGCATGGATCACATTTATAAACAAAGGAAAGCGAAAACGGAAGGAGGTTGGCGTTTTTCAAGCATCATGCCCTGGCTTTCCTGGTGTAAACAACGCCATATGCGGTAAGAATTTACATAAAATAGCACAGTAGTTTCAATTTTTAAAATGTGAAGTGTAGATTAATAAATGTTAATAATATCTTTTATAACCAATTCATAGTAGGTCAAATTGAATGCAGATATATTGGACATGTTGGATTTGTGGCGAAAGAGAGTTTTGTTATGCTACTTTCCATCTTGAATTGTATGGATAATTACGGGCTTTCAACATGTTCAATGGCAAATGATATTATTTAAATGGACCAAAAATGACTTAAAAATTAATTTCACCCTATCCCTCAGGCCTAAACATGGAATAATAACATATAAAATCATCTTGGCATCCAACCATTTAAATTTTGAAAAGTGAGGTGGGGGGGGGGGGGGGTAATCATTGCAACTAAGCTTAATGGATTTATGGTTTTGCATACTTATAATTATTTCAAAAATGACTTGAGAAGAAGGTGGTTAGAAAGATTTTTTTTGGCACAAACTAATTATTTTTTATATCAATATATGATGATCCATATTTCCCTTCCCCAATATCAGTTTAAGATTTCAAATCAAATGACCCCCCACCCCCACCCCAATTCCAATGAGGTGTATTGACAGTTTTATATTTTCATTTTTTAATGGTCTGTATTTCTACCTGTTCTGCAAAACATTTATCAGTATCGTTACTTTACAGTTTGAGTGCCTCTGCAGAGCCAAAGAAGAAAAGCTGATTAGTTATAGAGGAATAAGACACCCCCCACCCACCCTACCCCTTGAAGCATTACAGGTGTGTAACATTGACAAATGACAATATCAGCTAATCATGTGAAGATTTCTTTTTTGTGTGTGTCTGTGCATCTATTTTTTATATAAACCCAATACATTTTGATATTCTATTTTGTAGTCTAAGATTATGCAGGACCAAGCAGGATGACAGTGAGATGTATTTCTTCAATAAAGTGCTGTGCAAAAGAAACCCCAAAGCAGAGAGAAGATCTAGACTTTTGAATTCATATCTCATTATAAATGTACAATTTTCAAAGACAATAAGATTGATAAAACATGACTTAGAAATGAGGACAATTGAAGAGTGAATACTGTATGTTACTGAATGTAAGACAGAAAAGATCAAGATTATTGCACAAAAAGTAACTAAATCAGTAATCTAAAGTAAAGCCATCTTTAAAATCTGATTGAAAGCTGCATTTAAGAAGGAAGAAGTTTTTCACGTTTTTAGTACTTTTCTAGGCACTGCTTTGTATTATTTAAAGCTTTTTTATGTACTTTTTGTCTATCATTCTTGTACCTTTTTTGAACTCATAAATGTATTTTTTTTTTGTATCTTTCAGAATGTATTATATTTAGATTTTTTTTTGTTTTAATTCGATTTTAATACAGAAATAATAGACTGATACAAAATTAATACATTTTGTATTATTTTCCTATTTTTTTTTTTCAAGGTGCTCCAAATAATACAGAAATAATAGACTGATACAAAATTAATACATTTTGTATTATTTTACTATTTTTTTTTTCAAAGTGCTCCAAATAATACAGAAATAATAGACTGATACAAAATTAATACATTTTGTATTATTTTCCTATTTTTTTTTTCAAGGTGCTCCAAATAATACAGAAATAATAGACTGATACAAAATTAATACATTTTGTATTATTTTCCTATTTTTTTTCAAGGTGCTCCAAATAATACAGAAATAATAGACTGATACAAAATTAATACATTTTGTATTATTTTACTATTTTTTTTTTCAAGGTGCTCCAAATAATACAGAAATAATAGACTGATACAAAATTAATACATTTTGTATTATTTTCCTATTTTTTTTCAAGGTGCTCCAAATAATACAGAAATAATAGACTGATACAAAATTAATACATTTTATATTATTTTTGTATTTTTTAGTTCTTCTGTAAATTGTATTATTTTTGTACTTTGGATAAGGATTTAATACAGAAAAAATACAAGAGTACAGAAAAAATACATCAAGTGTATTATTTTTGTATTTTTACTGAGAAATAAAGTATATTAAAAATATATTTTTTTGTGTTTCATTTCAAAGAAAGTGTATTATTTTTGACCTAATTTGGAACCAAGATAAAAAGGGTTCCAAATTTGGTCATTAAAAATATACTTTTTTTGTATTATTTTTGTATTATTTTAATCTATTATTTTTATATTTATTTTCGATATGGGTAGGCAGTGCCACCTCCTTTCTGCACATTTTAGTGCAAATGCACTTAAAAATTTCAAGCAAAATGGTAAAAATCACATTTAATTCATTGTACTCAAAATCAAATTTGCATTTATTTTAAAGTACTTTTAAGTAACATTAGACTATGTTCTTTCAAAATTGATATTTGTCACAATAATTTCTTGATTTATAGGAATTTACAAATTGCCAATTTTCGAAAAAAAATTGCTCAAACTCAAATGGGTTACATATTTAATGTAAAGATATATAACTGTTAAAAATATTCTGTAAATCTATTGCTATGTTCGTTTCCATAATTACTAAATCATCTGTTTGTTTGGTGTTGAACTTATGAAGGTAGAAACTTTTGAAAAGCATTTATATCATTACATGTATTTGGATGCCTCATCTGTTTGTAAATTTTTTCAAATGATGACAAAACAAGATGCTAATTAAGACAATAAGAAAACTATGTATGTTTATATAGAAAATATATGATTTAGTCTGTCCTAAATGATCTTTCCCCTAGTTTATTTCATTATTACATGTTTCAAATGTGTTTTAATTTCTTTTTTTTCTCCTCTTCATATTCTGATTATGTATATCATAAACTTGTACCTCTGATCTGAATTTATATGTTGTAAATATTCTTCGTTGTCCTCATGCACCATATATTTGAAATGATGAGTGAAAAAATGAACTTGAACTTGAATGGGGCTTGGTGCCTTAAACAAAATATCAAATGTATATTTGAGAAAAAAAATCTGTTATTAAAAGGACATTTAAAGTAAAACTGCATTAAATTCCTATACAACTGCACTTGTTAGGAAAATTTTTGTAACTGTTAATTACCGCATAGTACATTTTTTTTTATATACTTTTTAATGAATTCTTGGTAGTTGATACAGATAATGTAGGTTGTCCCCCCTCCCTCACAATAAAAAATTGCTTCCTATGGGCCTGTTATTTGCTTCTTCAAGCTATTAAGTTGTTGTTTCTTTCTTACATTCAAATATCTTAAAATAAGTTTTCCCACTTTCATAGTACAATAATTCTCCAAAACAACTCCCTAGGTGAAGAAAAACTAGAACTGTCCAATAGGGACAAATACCCCCCGCTGGGTTTTTCAGAGAAGGTGCAAATTCAAAAATACTTTATGGATCTAGAGGTGTTCACAATTTATATACTTACAAAAATTTGCAGTGAAATATAATTGCTCATCATGTTTCTTAATGAATGAAACAAAGGTGCAACCAAATGAAACATCAATACTACATATAATACATTGTAAATCCATTGTAACATTTTTTTTATTTTTTCATTTTATTTTTTTTTATTTCTGCATTAAAAAAAATACATTGCAATTATGTGTTATGTCACTCTGCAAACTGAATGTTGAAAAAAAAACCATTATACAAAATCAAATTAATCTTGATATATCAATTTGAAATGCATTTTGAAAATAAAGAGCTGGTCATCCAGTAATGAAGTGCTTTGACAGACAATAAATTACAATTAAGAGAATAAGAGAAGAGAGATCTTTAATTCTTGTGCCTTATTCCCTGGAGATTAGATAACACACACACGCTTGATAAGAGATATGCCTTAACAACTTCCAACACCAAACTCATTAATTTATCTTTAACTGGATGCATGTCCAGTCATTATTCCCAAGAGACAAATGAAATTACATTTTCTTCTGTGCAATGTAAAAACTGTTTTTAACACTTGATGATGTTTCTTTTTTTTTTAAGTTTTTATGAGTAGTTTTAAGCTGTAGTATTTTTGAACAGATATTCTAGATTCTATATCTCAAACCTTATACATGAGGCCAAAATGAACAAGTCAATTAAAATAAAAAATAAAACCTGTAAAATGCAAAAAAATTAACAAAAAGAGTTGAAAATTCCAGGTGCACACCTTCATATGGTGAATAATAAGTGTACAAATTTTCAGATTAATCCTTGTAATAGTTTCTGAGAAACGGTTCGGACAAAACCACAGAATAAAAATGAAAAAACACCTGTAAAATTCAAAATAATCATTGAATCAAGATGAAAATATCAGGTGCACAACTTCATATGGTGAATAATATGTGTACAAATTTTCAGACAAATCCTTCCAATAGTTTCCGAGTAATGGTCCGGACAAAATCTCGTCTACAGACAGACAGACAGACGGACATGGTGATTCCAATATACCCCCCCTAAACTTCGTTTGCGGGGGGTATAAAAAATGATCATACATGACTTTCTTCTTTAAATGTTGACTCACCACTCACCTGTCACTTTTTACCCAATAATACTAAAGAGTTCCAACAAGGGGAGATAACAATTTATTTCCAGTAAATTGGTAACATGGGGCTAAAATAAGCAAAAGAAAGTTATATGAAGTATCCAAATCAGTTATTCCTATTCTAAAAATATATTAGATTAAGAAGCTTCTATTTTTCATTTAAATATCATAGAAATAATCCATAAATATAATTACAGACTGTTATTTAAAATATGTGAAATTGTAGCCAAGTTTGGTATTTCAAAGTTAATTTACAACATGTAGATCTATATTATTTGCCAAGCTCAATATTTTAAAACAAAATACACCTTAAATCATTCTTAAAGTAATCAAAGTACTGAGACAGTACTGAAAGATGGGGTCAAAATAATCTTCATGCTAGATTTCACAAATGTGATTTTTTTTGAGTTTTAATAACTGTTACAACTTAATTTTTCATTGACATACTAAAAACAAAACGGTGAATAATATATATTCACATTTTATATTTAATTTGAAGTAGAAATTTTACTAATTGCTCAGTCTGGAAACCTTTCCGAACTGCTCCGAATTTCATCGGGTACGAATTAATATTTTTCCGGAAGTAAACAGTGGATGATGCGTACGCAGTCATAATAATACGCAGTTAGTACTTTGTTTACTAGTGTGATTTACAGTTAATATTTTCAGTTTTAAATTATCAAAATACTTTATTAGTTTGAATTAGAAAAAGGTTCACATCACTTTCTTCAGTTTGACACAGAATGTTTATGTTTTGATCAAAACAATTTCTGCACTCTTTCATATGCGTAGATTTAATTCCTGTGTTATCACCATGGCTTCCGATTTGAGGCCTCTGACAGTAAACTAAAAGACAGGGTCACGTGACCCCGTCTAAAAATTAATTTAATCCAACTTTAAACTTGGTCTTGAGAGAAAAGAGCATCTAAAAATGGCTAAAAAAAATCATACTCATTGATCTACGATCTATAAATAGATGCATAAAAATTAAAACATTCATTTGAATTAAGTTTTTCCTCATTAATTGGGTAAATTGGACCAAGACTTTGAAAATAAACCAAAATTTGAAAATAAACTGATGACAGAAGGTAACTTTTTGAATGGATCATGATTTGTACAGATTTTCCATTAAATTTTGTGTGATTTTCGAAAAATATGCAAATGAGCTGTTACTAAAAATAAATGCAGGGTTCAACATTTTTCTGTGGATATTCTGACTTCTACCTTTATGTAGAAAATTTTAAGCCACTAAAAACTCCTAAGTTGCAATCTTCCATTTGGACGATTTTTAAAATTTTGCATGGTTTTCTCTCAGCCTGGCTCTAAACAAAGATTTCTTCGCAGATTATATAAATTTTAAATTATACCAATATTTCAAATAAAATCTGTTTTCCTAGAACATAAACCTTTAAATGTGATTATTTAAGTTGAAAGTATGAAACAAATATTCTTTATATGCATTTAACTAACAAACAAATTAACCAATGCTCTTTAGGCTGCCTACCTGTCTCATGTGCTATTGGTGCACCCCTTGCTGACTGGTTCACTATTGAGGTCACCTACCTGTTTCCGGTGCTATTGGCG